CTCTCGATTGAACCATATGTCTGATGTAAGCGAAATGTATTGGACGACTTAACATTACACTGGTCGGTATCTATATCTCTTGTGCGTGCATGTGTTCATCGTAGTACTCAACATCGCAACAACGATTATCAAATGTACCCAAGGCTTAGTCTCTATCGTGGCTTCAGAAGTCCAACCCCACCTTTGCCCATTTCTTCCGGGCTCTCCTGCCAGCATCCAATGTAGAAAGTTATGACCCACCTACTTCATTTTTGTTTTAGTGTGGTTTTGAAGGCAGCTGAAGAAGGGTATTTTTTTGTAGGTATCCATAGACAAACAAAAACAACCCTAGAAAACAGGGAGCCTGCTGATTTTGACTCTCAATATCTTAAAAAAAATATACAACAAAATTAAAACCAAAACACATAATGTAATTCATCAACTTCAACTTGTGAATAAAACCATGCGTTTAGTTCACTCATGTTTGCTGATATATATATATATATGTATATGTATTCTTAGCCATGTGCTGGATTACCCCAATACTTGGAAACATGGATTCCAATTTGTGCCCTTTTGTTGACTTTTGCTGTCTTATACAGTTTGGAAGTATCTGTATGACATTTAAATTTATCATACGAATATACTACTAAAGTTTCACGAAAAATATGGTAAAACTTATTAATAAAGAAAACATTTCAATTTATACAAGACTTTCTGAACAACCTGAATATATGTGGATGATATATTTTTCATTTCATATGGTCTATCTAGGTTCATTTTTAGAGTATGATGTAATTGAGGTGACTTCGAACTTACATTTTTAATATTATTAGGATTTTGTTACAAAGATGATAAAATCCTAATATAAAAATTTCAAACTTGCTTCATTTATATAATTATATGTCAATTTGTAATTAATTAATAATTGGAGGAGTTGGTTGATTAGAGGGTTGAGAGAGAACATGTCGTACTCTTTGGATTGTGTATAAACTGGTGCAAAATTATATGTTTTGTGACTTTATAACTTCCCCTATTTTACTCGTCCTAACACGACAATTAATAAAAATTTGACAGATATTTAGGATTAGTAGAGAATTCAAAATCTGTTTGACAAATTTGTTTTCCAAAACTATTTTTAAATCCTATTATCTAAATATAGTTGAAATTTTAAAAACAATATTTTTCTGTTGTTATTGTTTTCAAATTCTAAATTTTAAAATTTAAAATAAAAATTACATTAAAAAAGATAAATATTTTGGTAAATATGCTATTTCATAAAATTAAAATAGATAACCCATAATATATTATAAATTATATAATATTAATGTTAATAAATTAATTAATAATATTTTAGATTTAACTAAATATTTATTTAGTTTGAAAGTATCATTACTTTATAAATATATTACTAAAGATACCTTAAAAAAATTGAAATTAAAATTAGATTTCTAAAACTGCTATCAATCACACTGAAAACGTGAAATACAAACTTTAATTTTATTGAATCTTTTAGACTTTCTCAATTTATCAATAATTTTATAATCGGTGAAAATGCTAGCATATTATTTTAATATTTTTGTTAATTGAACTGTTAAGGACATGGACTAATTAGAAGTCGAATCTAGATTTCAAGAATGTAATTGAAGTTTTAAAATTATAAATTGACCCACTCCGAGAACAATAACTAAATTTATAATTTAATCTTAAAATTATCAAGGGTAGATCCGACAATTTGTTGGTTTTCACACGTAATGGGCCTACTTTCGGAAGTATCTGGCCCAAAATCCGTAATGTGTTAAAGAAAAAAGAAGTTGAGCCAAATAACAGGCCCAAGCCCAACGGGTCACGTGGATCACATGATTAATGTTTCGTTTCAAATTTTCTAAATAATAAATTAAAGAAACGGTCTCGTGGACCGAATCGTAATTGCGGCTCTCTATTTTGAACTATATATATATATATATATATATATATTTTTACAGAAATATTGAGCTATAAATCAGTGCTCTTTAATCTGTATGTTTTGTCGGTTTATACAGCATAAAGTGCATTAATTAATTGATTATAATATTTTTCAAAATATTATTTGTGAAGATTCTTTTGTAGACTAAGATAGTCTCATACAAATTTTTAATATATATTTTCAGTTTATAAGAAAATCATTAGAAAGCCAAAACAATTAGCAAGCATATAGTTTCTGAACATATTGCTATATATTTTAAATTGATTTAAATGAAAAATTAGCCCACAATAAATATTTTCTATTTTTGCTTTGAACATATTGTTAAAATAATGGTGTAGAAAAACTTTGCCCCTTCAAATTCGAATTTGAAATCGTGACAAAACCCACGACAAAAGCACATGAATTAAGGGCCCCTTGCAATTAATGGCTCTTCATATATATAGATATATTGATTTTGAAATTTATTGATCTTTCTTTTTTACAAGTTCAAAATTTTGGTAAATTTTGGATTGTCGATCGTTTTAAGTCACATGATGGTAGTGTTATACGAATTAACCGAGTGTATTATTAATTTTTTTTAATACAACACATGTGAATGGAGATCTCGCAATCTGAGATATATACTAATTATTGCTAAGTTTAGTCTTTTAACCTGTGTATAAAATATTATTTTAAACTTATACATTATTATAAATATCATTGAAATAAATAAAAATCACTTATATCCTTAAAAAAATTAAAGATTAAAATACTATTTTAGTCCGATGTATTTTCAGTTTTTCTTCATTTTAGTTTTGTACTTTGGAAATGTTAATTTTGGTACATATACTTTAAACTTTGGTTAATTTTACTTTGTATGTTGAAAATGTTCACTTTGATTATTGTATTTTTTGAAAATGGATCATTTTAATATATTTTTACAAAATATTAACACAAATTTTACACATAAGGAAAACTTTTTAGCATAAAGTAATGTTTACGTTTTAATAAATATATTTATTTTAGTGTCGTGTTGAAATTGTGGTAGAAAAAATGATATTAAGAATAAAATTAAGGAACAAAAAATGGTCATTCTTTTAAATATACAGTGACTAAAACAAACATTTTGGGAGTATATGAATCAAAATGAACCAAAGTTGAAAGTATAGATAACAACTAGTATTTTAACTAAAATTAAAAACATTAATTTCATTAAAATGATCTTAAAGTTAAGTAATTGATAATTTGTCTTTTATTTGATTTATTACCCTTCCAAAACTCATTAGTTTTAATGAAATTTAAGTCGTAACAAATCAAGGCACAAAATCAAACCATGACAAATTAGTCCACTAAATCAAGTATCACAAATCAATATATTTTTATCTTTTTTAATATATTAAAATAAGTACTATATATATATATATATATTTATATTAAAATATACTTTTGTCAAAAAAAAAAAAAATCAATATATAAAGGATTGACAATTATATAAACTTTTAAACTTTAATTTTTTAAATCAAATATTTAGAACGACGCTGCGCCCACTAAATCTTTTTGATACATAGTTAAAATTTTGTAACTTTCCGGTGTATATAAAATTTTTGTTAAAACCCTATTTAAAAGTACAATAACCAACTAAAGTCAGTATGACTAGCCATAATTGATGTACTTAAAAAAAATACAAACTGGGAAATTGAAAATACATCAACAAATAATATGTAAATGTAATTTTCAAATTCCAGTAAGGGCGTTATCGTAACTTCAAGTCCCCTTGACCCTTTTCTTCTTCCCAGGTCAGAAATCCGAACAAACATCGCTGTCAAACTACTACTTCCTTCCGCTCCGCGCCTTAA